AAGCATTTCAAATGTCAATTTTGCTTACGTGCTAAAACAAGTTGAAAAAGTTGCCACTTCGTGCAACTAAAATACCATTCTTATGTTTTATTTAGATAGCTGAAGATTTGTTAAGAAAGCTGGGTCAGGAAAGATTTGCTAGCAAAAATGTATGTCCCGAACGACACCAAAACACCCCCATCATCTTTGGAATAATTAGACAAGTGCAAGAGCTCCCTGAGGGCCAGAGATGGCTGGCAGACTGTTGAAATCTGTTTTTAGTTTGAAGTAATAAGACCGAAACAAAAAAAGTATAACAAAAACACCGCTCTGTCACCACAATCTTCTAATTTCAGAACGTTGGAACTCAAATTATTTAGAGGCAAAGGTAAAAGGCTAACAAATAGTTAATGTTTGCAAGCAAAGTAAGCAAGCAAGCATAAACTACTCTGTCCCTACAAATCCTCAATTCTAATATCCCTATTCCATCTTATTAGTGCAGCAAAGGAAACACAATGCAGGCCACTAGTAATCTGACAATATTCTCCTCCCATATCCCATCATAATTTAGCCACTTTCTCAATAAGGAAATGGACCCGGGTGGGGAAGTGAGACAGAAAGAATGTGCTGTGTAATTGCATCATGGGACAACAAGAGAGTAAGAGACCAAGGTCAGTTTCATATTCACAAAATACTTTTTGCTACCAGAAAGTGAATACAGTAATAAACTCCTGAGTATAGCCTTACCAGCATTTGTGTCTGGACCTGATAATGGACTGGATGAGGGTTAATAAACTGAAACTCAATCCAGACAAGACAGAAGTGCTGTTAGTGGGTGCTTCGCCGGACAGGTTGGAGGGCCATTTCCCTGCCCTGAATGGGGTTACACTCCCCCTAGGGGACAGGGTCCGCAGCCTGGGGGTGCTCCTGGACCCCAGTCTAACTCTGGAAGCCCAGGTGGACTCGGTGGCCAGGGCCGCCTTCCTTCAGCTGTGGAAATTGTACCAGCTACGGCCCTACCTGGATGAGCGGAGTCTCATTAGAGTTACACACGCACTGGTAACATCTCGGATAGATTATTGCAATGCGCTCTACGTGGGGCTGCCTTTGAAGATGGTCCAGTGACTGCAACTGGTCCAGAATCGAGCTGTGCAGCTTGTGAGTGGTGGGGCCGCTTGAGAACACATCAAGCTGATTCTGTTTAATTTACATTGGTTACCAGTCGCTGTCTGGGCCCAATTCACAGTGCTTGTTTTGACATATAAAGCTCTAAACGGCTTGGGCCCTGGATACCTGAAGGACCACCTCCTTCCATGTGAACCTACCCGGCAGTTAAGATCTAGCCAGGGGGCCTTTTTGAAAGAGCCGACCCTCAAGGAGGTAAGAGGGATGGCCTGTAGACAAAGGGCCTTTTCGGCAGCTGCCACCAGGCTATGGAATGCCCCCTGACTGAAATTTGTCTGGCGTTGATGACATTTCAGCGCCAGGTCAAAACCTTCCTATTTCAGAAGGCTTTTAATTGAAATAACATCAACTGTGGGTCCTGAGGGCAATTTTAATTGTATTTTAATCATTTTATCTTTTATTTTATTTTAATTGAATTTTAATTGTAAGCCACCCAGAGACTTTTGGGTAGGGTGGGTGGCATATAAGTTAAATAAATAAATAAATAAAAACCAAATAAATAAATTTTAAAAATTGTGTTATCCATTAGCTTGATCTTATTTACCTATGCTTACTGGTAAAAACTTATAATTAACCAGTTCTGTTTAGTTTAGACATTCTGACTATAGTGTATCAATGTATGTGCATAATATGCTGCGACACCTATCAAAACAGTATTAAATGCAAGTATGAGTTGAAAAATCAGTACTTTTTACCATTATAGTTCCTAACTCCTCCCCAAGAGGTTATTGCCAGATCTTCCAATTGGTGCACAAACATGCACTTCCATATACATCCGCACACTAAAGAAATAACTAAAGGCATAAGCAAAAAGAAGTTTGTCCTGTGTTGATTAGAAATTTTCTATACCACCCCTTGGGCATTTCAGTTGCTGTCACCATTCACAGAAATGTTTCCTCTATGAAGGTATATTTCAAGGGTTCACATATCACATGGTCCCCTCCCCTCCCCCGTTCTCTGCTGTTGTCACCACCCTCTTATCAACTTCTTTCACCAGCATTCAAATCCCTTCTATTTTAATGTTTAGCAAGCAAAATAGCATTGAACTGACAATACATGGTAAACATTTTAATTAGAGCTGTATGAATACGGAGCTATAGTGCTACACTTTGCCCTAAATTAGGAGAGAATATGTTTTTAAATTACAGTTCACGAATTACATTGCATTTATGGTCCTGACCAGTGCAGGCAGAAGCAGCAATGTTCACTCTCATACTACGTCCCACTCTGTGCATCATCAATGATGTCATCTGGTCATGCCCAGCAAATGCCACAAAGGACCAAACAGGCACTCACCCAAGCCAAAAGTAAGACAAAACAATGTGACTGGAAATTTTACAAACACACACAGACACAAGCCCTTCCAGTCAAACAAAATATACCACATGCCCATTCCAAAAGACTGGATTTACTTGTAACTGGTGCTATTGTGGTGTAGTTGATCGAATAAATACTGAAAGCAACAGCAAGAAGCATGGCAGAAACTTTGGGACAAATATTAATCCAGTTGCTCCCCAAGACACCCAGAAATTTTAGGAAAATCAAGTATTTTTTGTTCAACTATTGCCATGAAGACAAAATAAACAGCTTTGCAAAATTACAGTGCCTCTGAATGCTTATGGAACTATGCATCCCAAGAATGCCTGGGGAGGGGAAGATGGGATTGATTGATTGATTGATTGATTGATTGATTGATTGATTGATTGATTGATTGATTGATTGATTGATTGATTGATTGATTGATTGGGTTTATATCCCACCCATCTGGTATATTCTACCACTCTGGGCTGCTATAGGCAAAAGAATAAGGTAGCTATGTAGGTAGAAAAGAAAACTAATGGCGATTAATGCTTAGGTTGGGCGTTTGAGTGGTATATTCTACCACTCTGGGTGGCTATAGGCAAAAGAATAAGGTAGTTATGTAGGTCAGAAAAGAAAACTAATGGCGATCAATGCTTAGGTTGGGAGTTTGATTCCCCAGCTCTGCAGTTCTAAGATGATGATGATTAATTTTTTTTCTTTTTAGCTCCAGACAAAGAAATCCTACTTTTGGCAGCACCAAAACCTCATGTTCAGAAGTGTATAAACTGTTCACACCAGAACAACAACTTTGCTACCCATAAATAACCCCTTAAGCAGAATCACCCTCATTTAGTAATTCATAAAACACAGTCAATTTTTTCCAGTACACACATGATCCACATATATAACCAAGGAAATACTGCTATTTGTATATTGAAAAGAAAGAAATTGCTGTATGGATTTTTGAACACACAGAGGCAGAAATACTGTATCTCCTCATTTTACAAGACCATTTCTCTTTTCCTCTGAATTCTTGTGTATTGGCAGGACTGGCCTTTTGTCGCTATTAAAAGGTCTTTCTTGAAGAATTTACTGGCAATTTTTAGTTTGCCACATGTAATGTACCAGATGTTCAACTAGAAAATACAAGGAAACCTCCAAACACACAGTCCAAGGTGTGATAATATGTAGTTTGTTCGTAACACCTATCACCACATAAACTTCTGATTCATGTGTCATAACACTGATTAGAATTCCCCACTTCACCTTCATGTTGTGATACTCAGACATTTACATAATCCTAAAACTGGTCCAGTCAAAACATATTCTACATACTTTGGTGGCCTATCATATTCATTCTCCAATTTTTCTCCAGTGAGTTCAGTGCACCATATATAGATGTGGATAACGACATTTTATCATCCATTATCATCTTACAACTGCAGAGCTGGATGGGAACCTATGGATCATTAAGTCCATCAAAATTCCCAACTCCTGGCTCCATAGGATCATTGAGCTATTCAGCAGTTCTCACAACAACCATGAAAGGCAGATAGATGAAGATGTGAGGAAATGACTGGCCAAAGGTCACCCACTGAGTTGCAACACCTGAGGGACAATTGGAACTCTGACCTCCACAGTCAAAGCCAATATTGTAACTACCACATGAGTCATATGGTGTGAGGGGTGAAAATGAAGGGGAGTCAACTGTTTTACAGCTGCTGTTGATGAGGTACATAATTAATTGATCTCTGAATAAACTGGGTATTTAAAAAAGCACAATACTGTATACAAAAACTAACTAGTAGAATGTTCTCTGGATAATCTGATTTTAGATATGGGGAGGAACAACAGGAAAGAAAGGGCAGCAAGAGAATCAAAATCAAAGCCTACAGTAGCTTACATACACTTAGGTTTCATTTCACCTGGGTGGAAGAAATACTGTAAGTGCACGAATGTTTCTCCAAACAAAAAGCAAATACCAGGTTTACCACTGCTTCTGTCACTGCTTTCTCCAGCCCCACTGTTGTTGTTCAGCTCAAGGAGTGGTTCCAGCAATACACACCCCCATGACTTTCCATGGCTGAGCAAGGATTTGAATCCTTTATCTACTACAGGACACTGGCTCTCCATGTATAGAAACTTAGCTCTGCAGCCCTTAAGAGGTAGCAATTCAACAGATGTAGCTTCCCCCAAACTTGGGAGATACTGTAATATTTTGTTTGCAACACCTGTTGAATTTCTTCCAGAATGCAAGGAGTTTAAGGTGAAGCAGCTCTGCCATGGAAAACAGGTAACACGCACACACACAGAAAGAGAAAGAGATTCAGTCATTTAACAGAACGTTTCATTCTTCCTTGTCCCGATGAATCAGAGGAAGAGGAGCAGAACATCACTTGCTGAATTTCATCTTTAAACGACGCACAAGTTGCTTCAGGAGAAGAAAAGCATAGCACTCCTTCTGCCTCGCCCAACTTTCTTTACGACTGACTCCACAAGCCCTCTTAACGACTCCTTCGCCCCCTGTTGCCTACCTGCGCCCCTGGTATTTCCTATACCTGAGAACCCGGGGAAAGGAAGCAGGCCACTCGCTCAAAGCAGGCACACCTGGTCTTGAGGAGCGAGGAGCTGCCCAGGGCGCCTGCCTTGGCCACCGAAAGGACGCGGGCGCCTCCCGACTTCTTCGCCGTACGAAGATCCCTCGGCCGCCGGGCCGCCGCCAATATCCTGGGCTCCTTTCAGAGCGAAGCAGGTCCCCGGTCGCCTCCAGACGGAAAGTCCCAGCCAGTCAAGGAAGAATCCATCCGCCTGCGCCACGGGGCTCCGTCGTGACTGTCGCCGTTGCCGCCTGAGCCAGAGCGCCTTTCTTGCTCCTCCTCGCCTGGCATGGCTGCGCGGGCTCGAGTCCCCCCCCCCGGGGGCTGCCCCGCCGCGGTGATCTTAACCAGCAGCCAAGCGCGGGAGACCGAGGAGGAGGAGGAGGAGGACGACGACGACGACAGGAGGGAGAGAGACGTAACTTAGCCTTGTCCCCCTCACGCAACCCGCTCTAGGGCGGTCGCTCAATGACAGGTACCGGAAATGAGGTCGTTTGCGTGCAAAAGTTTGTGTGTGTGTCCCTCTGTGTGTGCGTGCATATGGACGGACACACGCGCGCACACATATATAGACAGAGACGGAGCTACGCACACGCCCGTACACACCTCCTTCCATGGCTGGTTGCTATTGGATAAGCAAAAAGGGAAAGGAAAAATTGAGCAGCGGGGGAGGGGGGGCGGCTGAGGAGAGACCGACGGTTCAAGCCATGGGGAGGGCGAGGGGCTCCTCGTAGTGACACGTACACCAACGCACACACGCCCTTGACGAGCCAGACCACAAGGCGGTCGCGTTGCTGCAGGCGCAAAACGAGCGCCCCTTCGCCTTGGCCGCTGCTGACGGGAACCCTTCTCCCGCCGTTGCCTTTAACGTGAACGGGCTCTCCAAGAATGGACGGGCGACGCTTTGCCCGGCCTGGGTGGAAAGAAGGCAGGAGCGCCACCTGCCAAGTAATGCTCGTCGGAAAGTGGTATTGGGAGTTGGCAGACCTCCGCGGGCGCGCACAACCCGCCCGCCGCGCCGGCCTGACAGGACGCGCGGCTATGAATAGACACCCACGTCGTCGCCACACGACACTCCCCGAAACCCGTAAGGAGGAGCCGCTCACCTTGAACTTTGGCCGTGAGGTGACTTGGTCGGCAGCTCCACCGCCTGGATCGGGCGTAAGCTGTGTTGTGGCTGCGTGACCGGAATTCAGGAAGCGAAGCTTTCCCAGAATCCACAACTGAGGAAAGAGTTCCCAATGTATACTTAACCAGAGAACAAATCTCATTTATAGCGATTTGGGATTTTGAAATCTGTGTAAACAGAATTACGAGTTCAAAGCGTCCTCTGGTACTTAATGGATGTGTTGTGGCATTTTTGCCTACATACAGGAGTTTTCGTAGCATGAGGGTAGAGAAATGGCTACACGTCACTGTTTGAAAGTGTGCTTAGAAAAGTTGAAAAAAAAACACGGAGTCTTCTCAAATACAAAGAGGAAGAAAAACAGCTGCAGCCCTAAGTTAAAAAAGCAAATTAAAAAAAAGACATCCAAAGTGAAATATTTAGAGAGCAATATGAAACTAGAAGACAGATTTGTAAACTTTGTTACTATTCACTGGCCTTGTTTCTGTGCTTTTATTTAAAAAGGCATATATTCCCCTATGGCTATACTATGTGTTCCAAAGGCTCTGTCTCTCTCTCTCTCTCTCTCTCTCTCACACACACACACACAAACACACACACACAAAAACTTGGATGCTCTGTAAGATTGTTTCTTCTCCTAATTTGTCTCAGAGCATTTCCCACATAGTTTATTATAGTCACACCAGTCACAAAAGCAGAAGTAGCCCCACCATTCTGTTTTTAACATTTTGTTTTAAAGAGGAGAAAGGAGAGGTTAAGAAATATTAGCAAGCAAATGCTGGGTTACTTAGATATTGTTCTGACTTAGTCCGTTTTTATGGGATAAGTCACAGAAAAGAGAGATGGCAATTTACATTGATAAAAATTAAACACGTGTTCCATGTTACAGCTTCAAATTAAATTTGGTCCCATGGCACATAACTTTTGAAGGGGACAGCAGCTGTTCCTAACCTTTTCTTTACCATGGACCACCTTTAAATATCTTTTGTTGCTGTGGACCACCAAGACCTAAATCAAGATTTAAAAACCTAAAGTACATCAAATATTTATTTAAAGTTTCTCATGAAGGTTCTCATTGACAGATATTCCTTGCGATAATGGCAACACTTTTTAAGATGACCGGAAAAAGCTTCATTTTCCTTTGAATGGGATACACCGTCAGCAACAGCATCAGTGCTTCAGTGATTCAGATTCAACCAGCAGTCCATTCTAAGGCTCAGACAAAATGTATTGTTATGAAATTCACTGTGATAATATTGTAAAGTCACTTTACCTGACAATAACCAAATGGTTTTAAAAGCTGAAAATGAAGAAGAAATACAATCACAAAGTTGGTCCCAAAACTCACTGACACTGATTGATTCTGACTTTCTCTTCCCATGGTTTCTGTCTGCATAGTAGCAACAGATGTCATATGCTGTCTGTCAGCCACTCAGCATCATTCACTTGCATGTTCCTACACTGTGGAGAAATATCAAATAGATTTGCTATCAAATAGTTATTTTCCTAATTTAGTTTTACTTTTGTTTTTACCAGAAGCAGTATGTTCTTTCTTTCTTTCTTTCTTTCTTTCTTTCTTTCTTTCTTTCTTTCTTTCTTTCTTTCTTTCTTTCTTTCTTTCTTTCTTTCTTTCTTTCTTTCTTTCTTTCTTTCTTTCTTTCTTTCGGTAATGGTCCCACAATGTCCAGGCCTATGCATTGAAATGGGGTTGATATAATTGGTAAAGGACACAATTTAGCTTTAGTTTTGTCATTGCCAGTACCCTGCCTCTGACATATGTCACAGCTTTGACAATATGATCTTATTTGCTTCCCAGGCCAGTAAAAATTTTGCACTATCCTCTGCTTTGGGTGTGTGATTCCCAAATAAGCAGCAAAGGTGTCTGTATGTCCCTTTTCTATAATCTTTTCCCTGTACTTACAAGGGACAACCAGTTGTTTCTGGATGCTTTCCCTTCTTAGGATTTACCAAGACCTCCCTATATAACAGGTCTCTGTCCACAAAGAATCTTTCAGGATACTCTGGGGTTATTGATCCCTCTTTGGCCAACCTAAATCATTGTTGGAAAGTATAATCCTGTCTTTCGTCTTGTCTGAAACTGTTTTCATCCACTTATATCCACTTTCATCCCTATATCCACTACCTCAGCTAGTTCATTTGCTTCATTTTCTCCTATTTCTTCATCAGAGAGCTCACATTTTTCCTCAGGTGTTTCTTTCTTTTCTATCTGGGAGCAAGTAGTTATCAAAACACTCTTAACATGCTCAGATAAATCCAACCCAATCAAACAAGGGGCAGGAATTTGATTTGTGATAGCTACCTTCCACATTCCATTCCACCCTTGATATTTGATGTGTACTTTAGCCATGAGTAGATGAATTAATTCAGTCCCAGTTCCTTTTATGGAATTAATTCAGTCCCAATTCCTTTTATGGTATTTGCTCATTTGTCATGATATCTCCCTGAGGGACAATATCAGAATGAGAGCAAGAGTCTCTCAAAGCTAGATATTTAGTATTATTTATATAAATATTTTCTCCAGAGCAACGAAGCAGCTCCTGGTTGTTTCAATAAAATAACATTCCAAAACATTTGCTAAAGGCACCTGTTTTTCCTGGCTCTCTGCTCTAGCAGTCATTACACCATTTTCAACTGCCTCAGCATTTTCTCTCTGCTGTTGTATACAATACACTTTCTTGGGCAAACTTCCCCCTCCCTTTTGCTGACTAAATTCTTTATTCTTTGAGATTTGACATTGAGCAATGAAGTATCTTTTTTCTCCACACCCGTAGCAAGTTTTTGGGGCTCTTTGTTCAAAGTAAGGGGGCTTGTCTCCCTTCCTTTCATTCCTTTATGCCTCTGTTTATTTTGCTCTGAGGGCTTGTCTCTAAAATGGCTTCCAGTTGCCTGTTTGTTTCTGTGGTAACCCTGGGCTCTTTCTTTCTGTCCTCCCAGCTTCTACCACCAAATTTTACCTCAGAAAATTTTGGGTTTTTGATTTCTGATATATAATCAGTCATCTCACTTGCTTGCTGTACTGTTTTAGGCTTTTTATCCCTGACTAAATATCTTAGTTCTCCAGGCAGAACCAAATAGAATTGTTCTACCCCAATAATAATTTTCATATCCTCTAAAGTTTCAACATTAGCTTGTTCTAGCTATTTTTCCAAGTATCTGACTAGATTTGCTCCTAATTGAGTATATGATTCCTCAGGGTTTTTTTTGTCAGTGCTCTCAATTTCCTTCTGAGGTGTTCAGCATTGATTCCAAATCTCACGAAAACCAGTTTTCATATTCTCTTGCTTGATCTTGTGGCATTTGAGAATAAATCTCACATAGTTCCCCACTTATTTGCATTCTTAGAATAACCATTTTTTCTTCTCCTCACACATTATAATCTCAGCATACTTGTTCAAACAGGATCAAGAATGATTCTGGGCAATCACCCATTTGAAATTGAGGTCCTTCCAATAGCTTTCAATGGAGAATAAAAAAATTCACCCAAAATTAACGAAAACTCAGAACAACACCAAATTAAGTTTGCATAGGTTTCAGGAGGTGGGCTAACGATTGCAAGCATTTAAAACAGGTTTCAAACAGTTTAAGACACTTTTACAGGAGCGAAAAGGGACTTCGCAAACCCATTCAAATGCATTGAGTCGGCTTCAATGCATTTCAATTGGGGAACCGCGTTTTCGTCAACGATGTTTCCTATGCCGATTTTCACTTAAGGACAGTAATCTGTTCCAATTGGAACAGATTAACCGGTTTTCAATGCATTCCTATGGGAAATGGTGTTTCACAGAATGATGTTTTCACAGAACGGTGTTTTTTTGGAACCAATTAACATCGTTGTGCGAGGCACCACTGTATGGTCCTTTTCTGCGTATATTCTGTTACATATACATCCTGTCACATTTGTCAGATGTATATACATGCAGAAATGTATAGCTATGCACTAGGGGTGTGTCTTTTTGCCTCCTGTGCTTCCATCTTGGATCCATCCTTTTTTTGCCTCCCTTTTCTTGATTTTTTGGGGGAATCTTTTCATATTTCTTTGGATTATTTCTGTTACTACTGCCAGGCAGTCTGTGTCAGTGGACTTCCCTGGGATGTCTTTTTATTTTAATTTTTAAATTTTTCCTCCCTGAGGGAATCCCCCCTTTAGCAATGGCCTCCTTTGGCTTATGTTTGTTGCCTAATGCTGTTGCTGTTTGGACCCTAAGAAGAGAAGAAAAGGTATCAAGAGGTGGGAAAGAAATCACTCCACATTGATTTGCCATTTCCCCCCTGTGTTGGGAGGGCATTTCCTCTTAGACTGATATTTTAAAAACACCATTTGGTTAATTTATTGTGTATTTATTTCATAAAGTTATATATTTTGTTGGGGTTTGGGGGAAATCTATTTGTTTGCTTTTATGGTTTTAGGGTAGGCCATGTGATGAGCTTTACAACTGTGCCAGTGTGCCACTGGGCTGTGGTGAGTGCTGGTGACTGTTGGTGTCAGTGTGCC